GGCTCAAGCGAGTCTCCTGCCTCCACCTCCCAAGTAGCTGGGACCACAGGCACCCGCCACAACACCTGGGTATTTTTTTGGTTGCAGCCATCATTGTTGTTTGGCGGGCCGGGGCAACCTCCAACTCTTGCGCTCAAGCAATCCTCTTGCCTCAGTTTTTCTGTTTTTAGTAGAGATAAGGTCTGACTTGTTGCTTAGCCTGATCTTAAACCTGTGAATTCAAAGTATCCACCCACCTGGGCCTCTCAGAGTGTTAGGATTACAGGCGTGAGCCACCCCGCCCAGCTTTTTTGTTTGTTTTTTTGAGACAGAGTCTTAGTATGTCACCCTGGATAGAGTGCCATAGCCTCATTGCTTACAGCAACCTCAGATTTCCTTGCTTCACCCTCCTGAGTAGCCAGGACTAGAAACACCTGTCATAATGCCTGGCCAGTTTTTTCATTTTTAGTATAGATATAGAGTCCTGCTTTTGATCTGGCTGGTCTCAGACTCTTCAGCTCAGACAGTCCATTTGTCTCAGCCTCCCAGAGAGCTAGGATGACGAATGTTAGCCACTGTGCTTGGCCTAGACTTCCGTCTCTTAAAACCTTCTTATGCCTCCAAGGGATACCATAAATAAAGTAAAAAGAAAACTTGGTAATAGGAGAGAATAATAGCTAATCATCCATATGCTGTGTGTTTAGGACTTCTATGCAGAGTATGTAAAGAACTCTTGGCTGGATGTAGTGGCTTGCATATGTAATCCTAGCATGTTGGGAGGCTAAGGCAGGTGAATTACCTGAACTCAGGAGTTGGAGGCCAGCCTGAGTAAGAATCAGACCTTGTCTCTACTACAAATAAAAAAAACTAGCTGGACAAGGTGGCACATGCCTGTAGTCCCAAGTATTCAGAAGGCTGATAGAAGAGGATAGCTTGGCTGCGCCTGCAGCTTAGTGGACAGAGTGCCAGCCACATAGACCAGGGCTGGCGGGTTCAAACCTGGCCTGGGCCTGCTAAAACAACAAGGACAGGCTCGGCGCCTATGGCTCAAGTGGCTAAGGCGCCAGCCACGTACACTTAAGGTGGTGGGTTCGAATCCAGCCCTGGCCTGCCAAAACAACAATGACGGCTGCAACCAAAAAAATGGCTGAGCGTTGTGGTGGGCGCCTGTGGTCCCTGCTACTCAGGAGGCTGAGGCAGGAGACTCGCTTGAGCCCAGGAGTTGGAGGTTGCTGTGAGCTGTGATGCCATAGCACTCTACCCAGGGAGACAGCTTGAGGCTCTGTCTCAAACAAAAACAAAAACAAAAACAAAAACAATGATAACTGCAACAATAAAAAAAAATATCCGAGCGTTGTTGCAGGTGCCTATAGTCCCAGCTGCTTAAGAGGCTGAGGCAAGAGTTTGAGGTTGCTGTGAGCTGTGACGCCACGGCACTCTACCCAGGGTGATAGCTTGAGCCTGAAAATTTCAGGTTACTGTGATGTATAGAGCTATGATGACACCATGGCAATCTACCCGGGGTGATAGACACTTGGTCTCAAAAAAAAAAAAAAAAATGAGGCCCGGTGCCTGTAGTACAGTGGTTATAGCACTGGCCACATACCTCCAGGGTATTGGGTTTGAATCCTGCCTGGGCACCCACCTAAACAACTGCAACAACAAAAAAAATAGCCGGGCATTGTGCCTGTAGTCCCAGCTACTTGGGAGGCTGGGGCAAGAGAATCACTTAAGCCCAAAAGTTAGAGATTGCTGTGAGCTGTGATGCCATGGCATTCTACCCAGGGCGACATAGTAAGACTCTGTCTCAAAAAAAAAAAAAAACTCATACAATTCAATTAGAAGACGACAGCTCCATAGAAAGATGCCAAGGATTTGAATAGATGTTTCTCCAAAGGAGATATGCAAATGACATAAAAGGACACTCAACATTATTTAATTATTAGGGAAATAGAAATCACAATTATAATAAAATACCACTTCATACCTACTTGGAAGACTATAAGGAGAAAAACAGGTACATATTGACAAGGATATGAAGAAGTTAGAACTCCCATACCAGTGGGATTGTAAAATGTTGCAGCTGTGTTTGAAAATAGTTTGGTGGTTAAAGTGTTAAGCATAGTGTTATGATCCCACACGTGCACATATTCTCATTTACCCAAGAGAAATGAGAACAGAAACTGAATGACAGTGATCATAATAGCATTATTTATAGTGGCTAGAAAGTGGAAACAACCAAATGTCTGTTATACAGTGAATGAATAAACAGTGATGTTATATCCATATAGTGGAATATTAAGCTGCCATAAAATAGAGTGAGGTACTAATATGTGCTGCATCATGGATGAACCTTAAAAACATGCTGAGTGAAGGAAGCCAGTCATTAAAGACCATGTAAAATGTAAGAATACAAAAAAAGTATTGTAAAACTCTATAAAAACAAAAAGACTAGTGTTTGCCTAGGAATAAGGAGTGATTCCTAATGGGGCCAATATTTCTTTGTGGGGTGACAACAATGACAAAAAATGGCTAGGCGTTTTGGCAGGTGCCTATGGTCCCAGCTACTTGGGAGGCTGAGGCAAGAGAATTGCTTAAGCCCAAGAGTTTGAGGTTGCTGTTAGTTGTGATGCCCTAGTACTCTACCAAGGGCAACATAATGAGACGCTGTCTCAAAAAAAAAAACAAAACAAAAACAGAGTCCCAAGGTACCCTGGGTAGAGTGCCTTGGAGTCATAGCAGCTTCCAACTCGTGGGCTCAAGCAGTCCTCTTGCCTCGGTTTTTCTATTTTTAGTAGAGACAAGGGTCTCCCTTTTTTTTTTTTTTTTTAAGCTGAGCTTCAAATTGTTGCCCTGGGTAGAGTGCTGTGGCATCATAGCTCACAGCAGCCTCTAGCTCAGGCTCGAATGATTCTCTTACCTCAGTTTTTTCTATTTTTAGTAGAGACATGGTCTCGCTTTTGATCAGGTTGGTCTCGAACTCTTGAGCTCAAGCAATCCACTTTCCTCGGCCACTTATGTTGTCTTTTTTTTGGAGACATAGTCTTACTGTGCTGCCCTCAGTAGAGTGCTGTGGCATCACAACTCACAGCAACCTCAAACTCTTGGGTTTAAGTGATTGTCTTGCCTCAGCCTCTCAAGTAGCTAGGACCACAGGCTCCTGCCACAATGCCTGACTATGTTTTTGTTGTTGCAGTTGTTTAGCTGGCCCAGGCCAGGTTTGAACCTGCTACCCTTGGTGGAGGTGGCTGGTGCTGTAACCACTGCGCTATAAGTGCTGAGCCCTTTATTTATTTCATTTTATTTATTTATTTGTTTTTTTGAGACAGAATTTCACTCTGTCTCCTTTGGTAGAGTGCTTGGTGTCACAGCTCCCAGCAACCTGAAACTCTTGGGCTTAAGCGATTCTCTTGCTTCAGCCTCTCAAGTAGCTTGCCCTACTGGTGCTTACCATAATGCCTGGCCATTTTTTAGTGACAAGGTCTCGCTCTAGATCATGCTGTTGTTGAACCTGTGAGCTCAGGGGATTCACCCACCTTGGCCTCCCAGAGTGCTAGGATTACAGCATGAGCTACTCACCTGGCCTATTGATTAGTTCTTATGACCTAACCCTGAAAACAAGCACCTAGTCACACTATTTTACTTTCATTGTTTCAGTGCTGGCATCTGTTAGAGCACAGGACTTATTGTCATGTTGTATTAGGTGCATATGACCATGGATCTCATCATCCTGGGAACAACAAAGGCTTAGATAAAGGTTTTAATTGTGGTCTTGCCCCTTAGGAGCTACGGCATCTTGGGGAAGTTTTTTTTTTTTTTAATGACAGTCTGACTTTTTCACCCTGGATAGAGTGCCATGGTGTCATAGCTTATAGCAACCTCAAACTCTGTGATCAGCCGTCCTTTTTATGGACACCTGCCACAATGCATGGCTATTTTGTTAGAGATGGGGTCTCACTCTTGCTCAGGTTGGTCTTAAGCTCCTGAGCTCAAGCAGTCCCCTTACCTGAGCCTCCCAGACTTGGGGGGAAGTTTATAAATGTTTTGAGGTTTATATTCTTTTGGCCAGTGAGGATACTGCTTACTTTCCAGGATTGTCGTAAGGTAAAGGTCTATGTAATGTATATATCATTGTATCTGTCACATAAGCTTTAAAAATTTGGTAACTATTTTTATTGATCTGAGACTCTTTAAGAAAACTAACCATTTTAGGATGTCTTTTAATGTGTATTAACTTTTATAGGGTTTATTTGGAGTAACCCAAGCTTCGCAGCCTGGAGGTCTTTTTGGGACAGCTACAAACACCAGCACTGGGACAGCATTTGGAACAGGAACAGGTCTGTTTGGGCAGACCAATACTGGATTTGGTGGTGTTGGTTCGGTAGGTTTCTATATTTGAATTTAATTTGAAAATCTGTATAAATTTGTTACAGAAATTTCTGAGAAAGATTTGACTGTATTTGGGGGAGCATTGTATAGTTTTGTACTGAGAACAATGCAAAATAAAATTTCCAGTACATTCAATAGTTAATTCTCTTTTGTTAAATATTTCTTTGCCTTAGTGCTATGCTTTCACTTTGTTTAAGTCAGGTCATTTTTAACTCCTAGCCTTTGTTTTGGATGATAAATGAGCATGACAGTTCGGAATTACACATTTTTTGTGATGATCTAGTTGCTGAAATTAGTGGGGTTCTCACAATATTACAGAAAGTGTGGTATTTTCCATTCTGGGTAGTTCAACCATGGTCCTGTTTTCATGGAGATTTAAGTCTTTTGTCTTTGGCAGTAAGGGGGGAAATTGAGAAAGTTCATAACGCTTGAGAAAATGCTTACACTGTAAAAACCGCAAATCAATAAAAAAAATTCTTATACTTTAAATAACAGATTTATTGATGTATAATCCATATTCTACACAATTCACTTTTTTAAGATGTACAATTCATTGGATTTCAGTATATTAAGGAAATATGCTGCTATCACCATATTCACTTTCAGATCATATGGTTTCATCATGCCAAAAAGAAACCCTGTACTCATTTGCAGTTGCTCATTTCTTTCCCAGTCACCATAGGTCTACTTTCTATCTGTATAGATTTCACTATTCTAGACATTTTATATAAATGAAATCTGAATGTGTGGTCTTTTTGACTGGTATTTTTCACTTAGCATATTTTCAAAGTTCATCCGTGTTGTATCATGTTTGAATTTTTTTTGAATTTTTTATTTTAACTATTTCTACCTGCAAAGTAAATATATGATACATTTCTCTTAATAAATACAAGGTCTTTAATGGCCTGGTTAGTTTTTTCTTTCTCTCACTAAAAATCTGTGCTTCCGGCTCAGCGCCTATAGCTCAACCGGCTAAGGCGCCAGCCACGTACACCTAAGGTGGTGGGTTCGAATCCCCAGCCCGGACCCGCCAAACAACAATGATGGCTGCAACCAAAAAATAGCCAGGCGTTGTGGCGGGCGCCTGTGGTCCCAGCTACTTGGGAGGCGGAGGCAGGAGACTCGCTTGAGCCCAGGAGTTGGAGGTTGCTGTGAGCTGTAATGCCACGGCACTCTACCCAGGGGGACAGCTTGAGGCTCTGTCTCAAAAAAAAAAAAAAAAAAATCTGTGCTTCCTAAGGGGTTAGTTAACTTTTCAGGATAGGAGCATTCCGTTTTTTTGTTTGTTTGTTTTGAGACAAAGTTTCACTTTGTCACTCTCGGTAGAGTGCCTTGGTGTTATAATTCACAGCAACCTCAAAATCTTGGGCTCGGGATTCTCTTGTCTCAGCATCCTAAGTAGCTGGGACTACAGGTGCCCACTACAATGCCCAGCTATTTTCATTTAAGGGAGGATATCTTGCTCTTGCTCAGGCTGATATCGAGCTCCTGAATGCAGGCAGTCCACCCACCTCAGCCTCTTAGAGTGCTGGGATTACAATTATGAGCCACTGCACCTGGCACATTCTGTTTTATAAAGTCGATCTTGTTCAGACTATTTTATTTTTCTGATAGCCTTTATTCATGTTCTTTCTCCCTTTTTTTTGAGACAGCATCTAACTTTATCACCCTCAGTAGAGTGCTATAGCCTCATAGCTCATAGCAACCTTACATTCTTGGGCTTAAGCCTCCCAAGTAGCTGGGACTACAGGCACCTGCCACAACGCCCGGCTATTTTTTTTTAGAGATTGAGTCTTCCTCTGGCTCAGGCTGGTCTTGAATCCATGAGCTCAGGTATTCCAATCGTCTTGGTCTCCCAAAGTGCTAGGATTATAGGTATGAGCCACTGCTTCTGGCTGCCTTCTCCCTTATTTATAAAATTTGTTTTAAATATTTCTTTCATTCCATATCCAGTACATTATAACTGAGGTAATCCATATTTACTGTGTGGTGTGTATGTGATTTAAAATTTTCCTATATTCTGTTCTTTTTAGACCCTGTTTGGCAATAACAAGCTTACTACATTTGGAAGCAGTACAACCAGTGCACCTTCATTTGGTACAACCAGTGGCGGTCTCTTTGGTAACAAACCAACCCTGACTTTAGGAACCAATACAAACACTTCCAATTTTGGTACATATAAAAAGCAGGTTTGGCTCTCTTAAATTTACACTGGTTATACCACACATTATTCTCCTGATTCATATAATTGGAAATACTTAAAATTCTCAGGTAAGCCATGGCTTGATATGAGGTACCAGATGGGAAGAATTAAAGTCATAGACACGACTTAAGATATAGTAGACATGTAAATTGCCTTTCATTTTCCTTGGATTACCCTACCATTAGATGAGAAATCATAACTGAAACACTTTTGATTGAGGTATCACATTCTCTTAGGCCAGGTTTCAAACATGGAAGTGGTGTAGGGGAGAGATTTAATGAATTTTTTGAGACAGAGTTTCATTATGTTGCCCTCGGTAGAGTGCCATGGCATCACAGGTCATAGCAACCTCAAACTCTTGGGCTTAAGGGATTCTCTTACCTCAGCCTACCAAGTAGCTGGGACTACAGGCACCAGCGACAGTGCCTGACTTTTTTTTGTGGGGGGGGGATCTGTAGTTGTCATTGCTGTTTGGCAGGCCTGGACTGGGTTTGAACCCACCAGCTCTGGTGTATGTGGCTAGCACCCTAGCCCCTGAGCTACAGGAACCAAGCAAAATTTGATGATTGTTATTGAAAGTTGAAACCTTGATTTGAGGGATTATTTAATAGTTTTGTGGTAGTTTCAAAATTCTTTTTGAGACAGAGTGTCACTCAGTCGCCCTTGGTAGAGTGCCATAGCATCACAGTTCACAGCAACCTCAAACTCTTGGGCTGAAGTGATCTTGCTTCAGCCTCCCAAGTAGCTGAGACTACAGGTGCCCACCATAACATCCGGCTATTTATAGAGACGGGATGTGACTCTTGTTCAGGCAGGTCTTGAACTCCTGAGCTTAAATAGTCAAAACTGCTGCAGACTCTGAAAGTGCTAGGATTATGTGAGCCACCAGGCCCAGTGAAAAACAGTTTTTTAATGTATGTTCATTGTAAAAAAAATTGCAATATACAGGAAAGATTGAACAATTAAAAAAAAACCCTACTCTTCAGACATATGCTAGAGCTGGGTGTGGTGACTCATGCTTGTAATCCTAGCACATTGTGAGGCTAAGGTGGGTGGTTGAGCTCAGGAATTTGAGACTTGGTGTCTGTTAAAAATAAAAAAACTAGGGTGGCACCTGTGGCTCAAAGGAGTAGGGTGCTGGACCCATATACCAGAGGTGGTGGGTTTAAACCCATCCCTGGCCAAAAACTGCAAAAAAAAAGAAAGAAAAACTAGCTGGGTGTTGGTAGTATGTGCATCTAGTCCCAACTGCTGGGGAGGCTGAGGTAAGAGAATCTCTTGATCCCAGGAGTTTGAGGTTGTTGTTCTGAGCTATGATGCCACATCACTCTATTCAAGGTGACTAAGTGACATTCTGTCTCAAAAAACAGATACATGCTGGAAAAATTTAAACCCGTTTAATGAAGACATTTATTTTCAACATCTTTTTTTTTTCTTTTTTTAAGAAGGATCTTCACTTTGTTGCCCTTGGTAGAGTGCTGTGGTGTCACAGCTCACAGCAGCCTCAAACTCTTGGGCGCAAATGATCGATTCTCTTGTCAGCCTCCCACGTTAGCACTACAGGCGCCCACCCCATTGCCCGGCTATTTAGAGATGGGGGTCTTGCTCTTTCTTAGACTGGTCTCAAACTCTTGAACTCAAGCAATCCACCCCCCTCTGCCTCCCAAGTACTGAAATTACAGGTGTGATCCACTGTGCCCTCCCCATTTTTAGCATCTTTCATAACTACTTATTTAAGTTTTCAAGCATTCAACATCATTTTTCTGAACTCATATATAGAATGTTTATTTTATTGCCAAAGGAAATAGCGATTATAATATTTGTTGAGGATTTTGCGAGCCATATACATATATCACTAAGCACTGATTGATTCTTTTAAAGAGATAAGTGCAAAGACATGGTTACTTGGCATAGGTCAGTAGTTAAGACAATTTTTTTTTTTTTTTTTTTTTTTTTGAGACAGAGCCTCAAGCTGTCCCCCTGGGTAGAGTACCCTGGCATCACAGCTCATAGCAACCTCCAACTCCTGGGCTCAAGCGAGTCTCCTGCCTCCGCCTCCCGAGTAGCTGGGACCACAGGTGCCCTCCACAACGCCAGGCTATTTTTTGGTTGCAGCCATCGTTGTTTGGCGGTCCGGGGCTGGATTCGAACCCACCACCTTAGGTGTATGTGGCTGGCGCCTTAGCCGCCTGAGCCACAGGCGCCATGCCAAGACCATTCTTCAGTAGGTTTTTAAATGATCTTACACTGGAGAAAGACTATGTTAAACATCTGTTAGAAAGTTAATTTGTTACTAACTGGGTATTGTGGCGGGTGCTTGTAATCCCAGCTACTTGGGAGGCTGAGGCAAGAGAATTGCTTAAGCTCAAGAGTTTGAGTTTGCTGTGACCTCTGATTCCACAGTACTCTACCGAGGGTGACAGAATAAGACTCTTTGTCTAAAACACACACACACACACACATACATATAGTAAATTTGTTTTACAGAACTATGAACTATGTGAAGAAGGTAGGTGGGTTATTGAGGGGTACCAGTTCTTAAATTCATGTATTCATTCTATTGGATTTTTATAATCACATTTAGTGGGGTTGCTCATTGACCCTTAATAATGATTATTATTTGCTTATAATTATTTTGGGTTGTGCTCTATACCTTTGAGGCAGTGGACTTTGTTAACAAGGGTAAGATAATCTGGTTTGTGTATCTGTTTTTTTATCTGCAAGATACATCAGTGTTTGTCAACCTTTTTTTTGAGACAGAGTCCTGCTCTGTTATCCTGAGTAGAATGCAGTAAAGCCATCCTCTTTCTTGCCTTAGCTTCCCATGTAGCTGGGACTATAGGCCATAAAGTATGGCAGATTTTTCTGTTTTTTTTTTTTTTCTTTTGACAGAGTCTCACTTTGTTGCCCTCCATAGAGTGCTGTGGCATCACAGCTCACAGTAACCTCCAACTCCTGGGCTTAGGCGATTCTCTTGCCTTAGCCTCCTGAGTAGCTGGGACCACAGGCGCCTGCCACAACACCTGGCTTTTTTTTGTTGCAGTTTAGCCAGGGCTAAGTTTGAACCTGCCACCCGCGGTATATGTGGCTGGCACCTTACTCAATGAGCCACAGGCGCTGCTCCGATTTTTCTGTTTTTAGTAGAGAAAGGGTCTTGCTCTTGCTCAGTCTGGTCTAGAACTCCTGAGCTAAAGCAGTCCTCTTGCCTCAGACTCCAGAGAATTAGGATGCCCAGCTATTTTTTGGTTGTACCGTGTTTTCCTGAAAATAAGATACTGTCTTATATTTATTTATTTATTTTGGCCAGGGCTGGGTTTGAACCCAGCACCTCTGGCACGTGGAGCCAGCACCCTACCCTTTTGAGCCACAGGCGCTGCCCAAGTCTTATATTTATTTTTTCTCAAAAAGACACACTAGGGCTTGTTTTCAGGGGATGTCTTAATTTAAGTATAATACAGCAATCTACATTTATTCAAATAATGTGAAGTCGTCGTCTTCTGTAACATTGTCATAACTCTCCAGACCCGGAATTCCATCCTAAATTTCTTGTGACTCCATTTCCTTTAGAACTATTGGCCCCAGTCTTTCATGTTGAGCAATAGAGCTCTTTTTTTTCTTTTTGAGACAGAGCCTCAAGCTTTACCCTCGGGTAGAGTGCTGTGGCATCCCAGCTCTCAGCAACCTCCAACTCCTGGGCTCAAACGAGTCTCTTGCCTCAGCCTCCCAAGTAGCTGGGACCACAGGCACCC